TTTTTTTTTCTTTTTTTTCCTTTGCATTGGTGAAACTGTACTAAGTTGACTTTCAAAATCCTCCTCTGTTCTCTCACCCATAGGGTTAAACTGTGACTAGAGCTTGTGTATGTGGGGAATTCATCGTTTGTTGTTTTGTTGCACATCCAGAGGCAGCAATATTTGAAGATGAGAAGGAAACCCTTCCCTTGTCCAAGTCACTTTGTCTATTTTTGGTCACTTTTTTTGTTGAGTGACATGAAACAGCTCTAATTCAGTAGGGCTTGAAGAGTTGTAGACTGAGACTTCAGATAAGATGATGTTTACCCAGTAGTCCTCTTATTTGTACAGGTAGTGGTGTGATCAGGTAAAGCTTTGTAGTCTTGTTCAGAGTATTTGCAGATGTTTTATCTTGGTGCCATGCTGTTTTGCTATTGTGCTTTCAGGATTTAAGCCTTGAAGTGCCTAAATATGTCAAAGTATGAAGTGGCTTGTGACTCTAGCACTTTGTTTTTCCATTTTTAGTGGTGCAGTTGGCACCTAATTTTTCTACTGGACACCTGGGAATCAACGATATAGCTCTGGCACAACTTCACCTGGAAAAAAAACCCCAAACCAAAACAAAAGTCATTGCTCAGTGTTAAGGATAGTTAGGTTTGATCTGTTAGATTCACCACTGTCTTATGTAAATTCTGGCAATTGCTGCTTCAAGTCGATTTAACTAAACAAGGAAAATGTGCTTCGGATCTATTTGTGGAAAGGTGAAGGTATGATGGTCACAAGAGTACTGGTGGCTTGGGTGGTCTTCCTCAAGCAAGGTTGTACTGAATATTTTTTAAAACCAGTATCTAGTACAGCAGAACTATTAACCTTATCTTCTCCTGTAGAGGTGAACAAGTCATTTTAAGAATAAATCGGGGCATTTCTATTCCTAGACATTTAATGTAACCTCCTGTAGCTTGCTTTGTAAACTATTTTTGTACTGCTCTTGCTCGGTGCTTTATGCCTCAAAAGATATACTGAAAACTTTTTTTTCTTTATTTTTCAGGTTAAGCTGGTGACCTTGGTTCATCATATGGGTGGAATTATTCGAAGAGACTTTGGCTCAAAAATTACACATCTGGTGGCGAACTCAACACATGGAGACAAATTCAGAGTATGTAAGCTTGAGTCTGTATTTCATGGAAACTTTCAGAATTTAGCTCTTGTAGACCAAGTTTATAAATTATACTTCAGCTCCTAAGTTGCTGGGTTTTTGTTTTGTTTTTTTCCCCCTGCACTAACAACAGTCACTTGTAATGGTGAGTTTTGACATGTCTTTGTTGCTGTAAGAGATCGAAATAGTATAAATTGCCTGAATGCAGAGATTTGGAAATAGACAAGTACAGTGAATAACAAGAATCAATATTTCTGAAGTACTGATGTTAATGGTAATTAAGACATTAAGACACGGATGAACACTTGTTCATCAATGATCAAGTGTTTATGTATTAGCGTGCCTGGGGTTTTTTTTTCCCCTAGTCTGTCATTCTGGTTGGAAGAGAAGACCTTCTTTCTATCTCTGTTCAAACACTCCCTTTTGTCAACTCAAGGGAAAAAGTAGGAAAACTTTTTACAGTCTCAAGAAGTCATGGAAATGACCTCTGGAGCAGTCACTTTCTTTTTGGTAAAAGCAGGCCTCATACAAAGCATCAAAAGCAGAAGAAAGATCCCATATTCCACTGGAACAAAGATTAGGTTTTGTGAGTGATGAAGGGTGTCAGCCTAGCGAAATGATGCACTTGTGAGTAAGTCTCAAAATAGATACTGATCTGATCTCCTAGTAACTGAAGAATTAGTACAGTCTAACTCCTGAGAGTTAGTTGGACGTGATTCTTGCAGAAATGTGTTCATTTTCTGAAGCAAAAGCAAGGTTAAGGGTTTTTCCTGGCATGGGAAAGATACAAATGGAAATACTTACTTGGTACAACTTGTGCTTTTCCTGTTTTGTAGATTGCTGTAAGTCTTGGTACTCCTATTATGAAAGCTGAGTGGATTTATAAGGCTTGGGAGAAAAGGAATGAAATGTAGGTGTTTATTTTCCTTCAGCCTTAACCTTGTGTCCTGTTCACCTGTAGTGTGAGTTTCTGTTTAAATAGGGATGTAGCACTGATTTAGTGACTTTTTTTTTATTATTGTTTATTTCAGTGATTTCTGTGCAGCTGATGATGACTTCAGAAATCAGTTCAAGGTTCCTCCCTTTCAGGATTGCATGTTAAGTTTCCTTGGATTCTCTGATGATGAGAAAGCAAACATGGAAGAAATGACAGAAATGCAAGGTTATTGTTTATGAAAGTTGACCTCTGGAAGGAATGGGTTTTGTAGCTGATAAATATTTCACTGAAGCTGAGAACACTGGAGCATGAATCCTGAAGTATAAATAAAGACTCTTCAATTTGGAGAGCTATACATTGGATTTTTTAATATTTGTGTATGTGTAGGTTCTGATAGCTGTTGAAGACTTCAGACTTTTTAGGCTGATTGGAGCTAGACAATTTAGACGTAATTGTTACAGAAAGCTTGAAGCTATCCTGGAAAACTTGCTACATAATATGTATATTTTGCTTCAGTTTTCAGTTCTGTGATAGGTATCTTTACATAATTCACAGAAAACATGTACAGTGTTTACAACTTTGCCATGAATCATGGCTGGTAAAACACTTGACTGGAAGCGTTTCATTCCTCCATAGCGCAGTACAACACTAGCAACCACGTTGGCAGTAATACTGTAACAGCTTACAGCTCTGCTGCCTTGTTTTGTTGGAGCTGCATGTAACAGGACTGTAGACATGAGGATGGGCCCAACTTGTAACAGCAGTGCTTCCTCAAAAGAGATGAACGTTGGCTGGGTTGGTTTGTGGGTTGTGGTTTTATTTTTTTTTTTTTTCCTTCCCTTTCTGTTCATTGGCCTGTTTACCTAGAGCTACTTAGAAGATTGTGACATGTAAAGGTTCTAGCCTGTGGTGGTCTTTAGGGCAAGTATTCCTGGCTTGCTTTTCTAAGAAACAGAAAAAGCTTTCCAGAAAAATATTGCATTTACTGCTGGACGGGTTTAAATGCGTTCTGAACTCTGCGTGCTCTTGGCTTTTCAATGTGTACTTTACTACTCCAGGCTACATACGATTTCATAAAAGCTGTGCACTGCTGGTATTAGCTGGGGTGTTACGCAAGTCCAACAACAGATCAGTGTGCTAGGGTGTTCATCCCCTTTTGGCTCTTCTGTCAATGATAGGTGCCACAGAAATATCAAGTGAGCTACTATTTTCTAACAGTAATATTCTTCAGTCTTGCTAATTTGGTGTGGGTTGGTTTTTTTTTTTTTTTTAGGAGGACATTATTTACCAGTTGGTGATGAAAGGTGTACACACTTAGTGGTTGAAGAAAGCACAGTGAAAGATCTTCCGTTTGAACCTTTAAAAAAACTTTATATTGTTAAGCAAGAGGTTAGTGCTGACAAGTTCTTGGAATAATTTTGCTAAATAATACTTGGGAGTTTTTATATTTTTTTTTTTATTCCCAGAATAAGTTTACACATGTAAACATCTTGTATGTGAAATGCTTTATATATATATTATAAT